GATAGAGGTGCTAAAGAGGAAGTATAACGGAAATTGGAGGAGGATGAGGAGGTAGGGGGAGAGAAGAGAGTAAGTAGGAGAGGGACAGAATAAAGTGAAGGGCATAGTGGAGCTAGAAGATAAAAGAGCATAAGCTAGAGGGAAGTAGAGGCGGGCAGAAAGGCACAAGTAAAGAGAGAAAGAGAAGAATGCGACGAGGCGAAGAGAAGATTTGTATGTGCGGAGAACGGAGCTAGACTGGAGCAAAAGTGGATTAGGCAATGAATGAAGATTGGGATCAGTGTAAAGGTGCATATAGAAGCGTATAGGGAGAGCATAATTCTGGGCAAAGCGGAGGCAAACATATGTGGCTCTCATAAGGAGGATCAACTTATAATGATTCACGTGAGAGTAAACCTTTGTCAAAGGGAACGCGCTCTTTGAACGCATTCTAGACGTGGGGTCAGTGCTTAACAGCGACTGCGTTGATTTTTCAGTTTGCGTTCGGGGAGCAATTCGCGGCTTAATTACAATAAAATATTTAAAGGCGGCTGCTTGGCTGTTTTATGGGGCTTAAACATTGCTTTTTACGACCCGGCACACATGTCGAAACGTAATTTGATAGTTGATGGCGGCACCTGCTCCGGCTCCTGCTCCAGCTCCAGCTTACCCTAGGGCTAACAGAGCCAACAATGTATGCGAATGTGTGTGTGTGTGTGTGTGTGACGCGCTTTATCAAAGTTTTAACCAAGTCGCATGAATATTTAGTTGCGTAATGCGCCACGCCTATGCCGCCTCTGCTTTATTAACCAGCTACTCCCTGCCACCCACCCCTCCCAGCCGCGACCTGCACAGCTTTAATTTGTGCGACAAGCCAAACAAAACACAAAAGCACAAAACAAAACACAAGCGCACAGGCAAAGGCAAAGAAAATGCTAATTTTATTGACACGCCCACCCCCAAAGCGACGCCCACCCACTCACACCCATCACAACTCCAGCTGAAGCAGTCAAAACGCGAAAATTGAAGAAAGGTAAAAGCGGTTAGCGGTAGAGAGTGTGAACTGGGGGGTTGGGGCAAGAGAGGGGCCGAGGGGGTGGGTGTTGAAGGAGAGGTAGCTGGGTAAGTGGGTGCGGTGTATAAGTAACGGTAGCGGGCTGGCAAGTCATTAACACATTTGATAGACAGCAAGTGAGGGTGAGAGAGAGAGAGAGAGAGGGCGAATGAGAGATGGAGAGAGGGAGATGGCTGCGACAGCCACGCCCACATCCACTGCCTAATTAACACGTTTTGAATTGTGAATTTTGAAATGCGCCAACAACAACAAAATGAGGAAGAAGAAGAAGCATGGGTAGCAAAATATTATGCAAAAGTGTTTCCAAGTGTTAAGCAACAAAATGTTTGTAAATTAACTAATCAATGTAGTGAATTTTAAATACCCTAACAAAGGTAACGGCAATGTCGGATGTCGAGTAAAAAATATTGTATTGTTATAGGAGTAGAAAAAGAATTTAAATTGAATAAGAATTTAATTAAATTGTTAAAAAAATAGAAATATTCTTCTGGAATTCCAATGAGTTTTTATTATTATTTTTTTTTCTTTAAATAAAAATATTTATTTTTTTTTTTTACCTTTATATTAAACTTTTCAATGAATTGTTTATTATTTGGCTTTAATTTTTTTTATATATATATTTTTTTGCAGTAATGTTTAATTTTTTTAGTATTGGTTTTTTTTTTTTATATATATATATTTTTGCAGTAATGTTTAATTTTTTTAGTATTGATTTTTTAATTTTTATTTAATATAGATAATAAATAATAATTTCCAATTAATATACATTTTTATAATTGTTATTTTACTGTTATTTCTGTGAAACACATTGACAAAATTTTGTTAATATTTTATTTTTTACATAACATATTTTTTTTTTTCTTTTTTTTCAAGATTTTTCATTTTCCATTTTATGCCTTTTGGAATTTATTCAAATCGAAATGAATAAATATTTATATAATGAATAAATATTTATTCATTTTATTCTACTTAATTATTGGCTGTTTATTTCATAATTATTAGTATTTAATTATTAATTAATTTAATTATTAGTATTATATTATCAATTAATTTCACCAACAAATCCCGTTTATAAGCAATCTCAGCCTCATCCATCGAAACAATCTCTAGCTCTAGCCAAATGAAATCACCTCTGTCACCTGGGCCTCACCTGCGCTGCCCTCACAGCAGCCGGCGATGAGCATCTGTTAATATCCTTTGCCGCAAGGATAACGGCAAGCTGCTGCCGTTGCATTGATTATTGCCGAGCAGAGCCGTGGCATATTTTTGCATCCTTGATGGAGCAGCCAGGACCTCTCCACTTGTGGATCGAGCGAGGGCAACCTTGAAGGTGTTGAGATAACACATTTAGTTGGCTGCCAAAAGGGGCGGTTGACGGGAGTAGGCGTGGCACCAAATGAAATCAAAACACGCATAAATTATATGTAAAAATACAAATAATGTAAAAATAAAAGTCGGCCGCTGATAAACAATTGAAGAGGAACGAGAAATTGTTGAATATTTTGCAAAATCATTTTTTGCACGTGTATATAAAAGGAAAAGTAAGAAAAATTACATAGAAATAATGATTTTTCCATATATTATAAGTATTTCTCCCTCGTACTTAGATTACTTTCCACAAATTTATTTTCAGTGTATATAAGGCTTTGCTTAGCTAGAAGTAGACTGAATAGTCCCCTTTAAATATATATAATATATATATAGATATTTTTTTTTAAATTTTATATTATTATATATATTATATTTTTATATTTATATATACATATATAATATTTATTTTTCTCTAATTTTATTAAATAAAATAAAATTCAGTGGAATTCAAGCATTAATTTCTATTAGTAGTCCTATTGACAATAAACACTCATTTATATTATAATTTTAGTTGAATATATATTATAGCAGGCCAGTATAATATTTGATGGACTATGATTAACCACTATGGTTAACCATCTATAGATACACATACATACATATATCGATAGTTAGCCATATCGATGGCTGAGGAGGTGGAGACTTCGCGTGCCAGAATGAGTAATGACAGAGGAAGAGAAAGATCAGCAGAGCGAAGTAGGAGCTGAGAGAGTCAAGTTAGATTTAAAGGAAACAAGATATGTCCTACAATATGTATTAAATATACATTTTATTATTTTCATCCCATTTACAGGGTATATAGTATGTATGTATGTATATCCTGTACCCTACTACAATACTCTTTTTGAAACAATCATATTCCTTGTGTTTTTTCCCATTCGTTTACATATCGTTTTTTTTTTAGTCTGTCTACCCAGCCCTTGCTTCCTCCCTCCCACCTCCCCCCTCCCCCACTTGAGCATTCGCAAGTTAAAAGTGTTGGATAGGTCGTTACCTCAGTTTGCCTCTTCTTCATCTTGAGCTTCAGCTTTTATGGCCTGCTCGTCATCAAACTTGAAACTGCCCCAGTCGCTTTATTTCGGCCACGATTCTGTCCCGCCCGCCCACCTGCCAAACCCTTTTATTTAAATCGCAAAAGAAAAAAAAAAAAAAAAGAAAAGTTTTGCTACTCAAAGCCCGTTTGGTGGACCTGGCTTTCAGCTGTCGTGTATTTTATGACTAGTTGTAATGCCAAGTGGCTCAGAGTGCAGCCCTTACCTCAGACAGGCTCGTACAGTGAACACACATCGATAACCAACGAACTTCGACTCTCAGCTCAAAGAAAATGATTCAATTTAAATAATATAGGAAGCACCACTTTAACCATTTTTTTTTTCACTCCTACCCTTTGCCTCTTCGCCTGCCCGTCGTAGTCAGTGCTCACTGTACTTCATAACAGGCTGTTTCGTTTTTATGACATCTCAATTTCGAAACATACTTTAGTTTGTCAGCAGCAATCGCTGCGAGCCGCCGCCCCCCCATCCACGCCCACATGTCAGACTCCCCTGCTGAGTTATACACAAACACCTAAGGCTAGCCGTGACCTGATCTATAACAGGAGTCAGAGCGCTCTCTTGTTGTTGTTGTTGTTGTTGTAAACAAAACGCATAAATTTATGTCAAAGACTAAAAAAAGGGGGGGAAAAATGAAAAGTGCAAACGAAAACAAATTTATTTTGGACTTTTTAACAACTTTTGTGAATATGCAGGCGTAACTGTAAATACAGGCATAGCTGTAACTGGCTCTAGCTTTTGTTAGTGTTGTAAAACTAACAAATATATACATATATATAAGTCATAACATATATTTTATGTGTGAAAGGGAATTTCGGCTGCTTTCGCCCTTTCGCCACATTTGTTGATTGCTCCTCGCTGTTTTGGCCCTTTGAGCCTAGCTCTGCTTGCTCAAGCTACAACAACAACAATGACAACAACAAGTGCAAGAGAAATTTCGAGTGGCATTTTAGTTAAGTGGCAATTGGTGTAAGTGCGTCGCTTACAGCTGGTCACAACTGTTGCGCGCTTGTTGCCGAGCGTTAGCAACATGTTGCCAACAGAGAGCGGAACGCAATGGCAAATGAAACGAGCCGCGCTCTTAAATGCGAATCTGGGCTGCAGACGAAGCTCAAGGCGCGAATGTACGCTCGTTCGTCGTGTCCAGAATGTGGGCAACGTTAAAGCAACAAAGTGGAAAGAAAGAGCTAAAAGAGATCAACGAAACTTATTAATAGCTCGAGTGCAAGCTAAAAATATACAATTAAACTTTAAAAACACAGTTCCATAGTGAAAACTAACCTAAGACAACATGCCAACCGCTTAGCAACATTTGAGTGCGCAACAATGTTGCTAAGCACGCGCGCTCTCTTCGCACATCGTCAGGCGCAAGCGTCTAGCCCCACTTCGTGAGTGCTCGTTCGTGCCGTGTTCGTAACTCGTCCAGCCGAAGGCTGCGCGTCAGCGTCGTCATTCGTCGTCAGCCGGACTTCGTTTTTAAAGCTATAACAAAACTCAAATTGTGTTAGTTGGTAAGAAGCGTTCGTCGGCAACGGGCGGCAAAGCGGATGCAATACCCGAACTGATTAATCGTGTCTCTCATTAAATAAGTTTTCATGTGTGTGTGTGTGCGTGTGCGTGTGCCGTGACAGTGTGAAGCGCGCGCGTCTTGCACAAGTTGTTGTCCTCGCCGTGTTTAGAAGCTAATGAAAAGCCGTTGCCTACTTGCAGGCGGACAGGCCGCAGCAAGTGTTGCTCATGTGCGTTGTAATTATGCAAATTGCTTTTGCTTCAGCTTTTCCATTTTCGTTTCCTTCTGGCAGCAATCAGCAGCTGCAGCTGCAATTGCAGCAGCAGCAGCAGCAGCGGCAGCTGTGTGCCGCAACTCAAGTGCAACTGTTGCCAGTTATGCTGTGCGACCTTGTTGGTCGTCACGCCGCATGCATATTCATGCCGGCCAATCCGTAGCCACCCACCACGACTAACAACAGCCGCAGAAACTGGGCCAACTGCAGCGGCAATAAAAGAGATTTTTCTTCTTTTTTTTTTTTTGTTTTTTTAGCTCAATTTAAGGCTAAAGTTGTGCTCCAATTTCACCTGGGCGCTGTGCCAGGACACGCGCTGCCTCATCTGTCAAATTCTTATAATTTCAACAGTATTTCTTTTCTCTTGCCTCCAACTTGTTGTCCTTGGCAGCAGCAGCAGCAGCAACAGTCGCTCGCATATAGAACGCAAATAAATTCATTTTTATTATTCTAGTGTGACAGCTGATTCTTTGTCTCTCTGTCTGTCTGTCTGTCTGTTTGTCCGTGCCACATTATGTGGCCAGCACATTGTGTTTTTTATTCTCATTTTTACGGCCATTTCTTTTCTTTTTTTGGGCCATTTTGCCTACCTGCAGCCGTTGACCCAGTCGCAATTGTTATGCTTCGCAGCCTTTGGAAAATATTGCGAAAATAAAAACTTTCTTTGCTGCATTTGAAGCTGAAGTTTGCAAAGAAATTAGAAATTCCTAAACTAAAGTCTGCAACTGTTGGCCAAGTTTATCTAGAGTATATTCTATATATATATATGTCTGTGCTGACAGTCTGCCAGAAATACTTGTGTTTGTGCTTAGAAGCTGTACGAAAATAAATATAAAATAATAACTTGTGGAAAATTCTAATGAATTCAGGCAAATGCAAAAATATTATAGAAATTAAATGAAAGAACTGCCAAGAGT